TAATGATGTACATTTTGATGTAGATGTAGATGTCGACGCTGTTGTTGGCAAAGAAGCTGATGTAGATTCTAATGTAGACGTAGGGTGTTCGTTTGGGCCCGCGGCGGATTTGTCATCGACTCCATTCCAAATGAGTACTATTGATTCCTATCGGATCCGATTGCTTCAGATTGATTACAAGTTCTTCCTTGTGACTCCTACTGGTCACTTAGTGATTCCGATTGCTTCCTGTTTGTTTCCATTGTTGAGTTGTTGTCCTTTCGACTGGTCAACTTCATTCCTTGTGAACCATTTATCTTCAGTCGATCCCTACTAATGCCGAGTGGTGCAGATTGAATCCTATTGACTCGGAGTGGTCCCGAGTGATTGTTGATGATTCTTCGTCATGCGCACGGATCCCCATCACATGTCTACTGATTCTTACTGTTTCCAGTTGTTTCCTATGGCTTTCTAGTGATACCGATTGTGTTCTATTGACTGTTATCGATTCAGATTTGCTCGTCTTGCCTAAAGAGAAAAGAGAGGGAAACAAAGAGAGAGAGAGAGAGAGAGAGAGTGCGAGAGGCAGGGGCGGAGGAGAAGGGGTCCATGTCCTTCGCGCGAAGCTGTTTTGTATTTTGAGAAAGCACAATGATTATTGGTTTCCCGTTGGGCTCCGTTGGTTTTTCAATGGCAGTCACAAGTTTCCTTCATGTCGGACAACGAACCTGTGAGACTACCAAGGAAACCAACCAGAAACGGGTGAGACAGTTTTTAACATGAAGAAAGTAATTCGGGATCCTTGGCGGGAGGCGGGGGAAGGGCGTGCCGAGGAGGGATTGGTTTTTCAATGACAGTCACAAGATGTGTTACAGCTTGGCCACGAAGCCTGTGATATTGCCAAGAACCAACCGAACAAACAATTTGTGAGACTACCAAAAGACAGAGATCAAAGATCTTCAAGTTCCCGGGGCTCATGCCGGGCCCCCCTCATCGGATCCCGAAAACTTTTGATGTTTATCTGTCTGTAGTATCACAATGTGTTGCGTGTGCGTTTTACTCTTAAGGTGTCACAGGTCTCGTCGCCCAACATTAACTGAGCAAACCTGTGGCTGCCATTGAAAAACCAATCAAGTCCAACGGGAAGTCAAGAATCCTTGTGACCCTTTCAAACCATCAAATAGATTCGCGCGAGGGAAGGGGCCCTATCCTCCTCCACACATGTCTGTTGCTCTCTCTCTCTCTCTTTCTCAGTCACTCTCTCTCTCTCTCTCTCTCTCTCTCTCTCTCTTCTCTCTCAAAGCAATAAGAATAGATAGCAATCGGTAGGAATCAATAGGAAACACAAGGGCCAATAGGAATATATAGGAACCAACAGGTATCAATCTATATCATTGGAAGTCAAGAGGAATCAATATGAATGACTAGGAACCACTTCGGGACCACCCGGAACCATGCGGAACCTACAGGAATTAGTAGAAAGCACCCCGAATTAACAGACATGCATGGGAACCCATTGGAGAGCAAGAGGACACAATATCAAGCAATAGGAGTTAATATGAAGCAAGACGAACCGCTAGAAATTTACATGACCCCATTGGAAGCAGTAGGAACCGATCGGAATCAATCGCGACCGATATGAACCACTAGGCAGCAATCGGAATCAAGGGGGAATTCGGAAGTAATCTGAAACAACTGGAATCGATAGGAATTAAAAAACATTCGGAACCGACAAGAAACAATGAGAACCAGTAAGAATCAACGAGCATCTCTCTCTCTCTCTCTCTTCCTCTCTCCCTCTCTCGCTCTGTCTTTCTTTTTGTTTTCTCTCTCTCTCTCTCTCTCCCCCTTCCTCTACATTAACCTCTACATCAACATTTACAGCAACGGCTAAATCACGAGTGTGTCGTGATGTGTTGCAGCCTGGCTGTCGAACGTTTTTCCCAACCATTCTGTGGTGTTGGGTCCTCGTTTTGAAGAGACAGCGCCCCGCGTCCCACCTTCCTTGCTCCTCCTTCCCCTCCTCCCCTCTCCTCCCCCTCCTTGCCTCTGCTCTCGGCACGCATCTCACACGCTTCGTAGCCCCATAGGGAGCTCCACCGAAGGCCCCAGTGGTTGCTCTCGCATGCGGTTCCCCCACCCAGGGAAGCGTTTCGTGGCCCCATAGGGAGCTCCACCGAAGGCCCCAGTGGCTGCTCTCGCATGCGATTCCCCCACCCAGGGCAGCGTTTCGTGGCCCCTAGGAGCTCCACCGAAGGCCCCAGTGGGTGCTCTCGCATGCGGTTCCCCCACCCAGGGCAGCGCTTCGTGGCCATAGGGAGCTCCACGAGGCCCCAGTGGTGTCGGGTTCCCCCACCCGGCAGCGCTTCGTGGCCCTATAGGGAGCTCCACCGAAGGCCCAGTGGCTGCACTCGCATGCGATTCCCCCACCGGGCGGGCATCGTGGCCCATAGGGAGGCTCACCGAAGGCCCAGTGGCTGCTCTCGAATGCGGTTCCCCCACCCAGGGCAGCGTTTCGTGGCCCCATAGGGACTCCACCGAAGGCCCCAGTGGCGCAGTCTCGCATCGCGGCCCCCCCACCCAGGGCAGGTTTGCGTGGGCTCCACCGAAGGCCCCAGTGGCTGCTCTCGCATGCGGTTCCCCCACCCAGGGCAGCGCTTCGTGGCCCCATAGGGAGCTCCACCGAAGGCCCCAGTGGTTGTTCTCGCATGCGGTTCCCCCACACAGGGCAGCGCTTCGTGGCCCCATAGGGAGCTCCACCGAAGGCCCCAGTGGCTGCTCTCGCATGCGGTTCCCCCACACAGGGCAGCGTTTCGTGAAGCTTAGGCTCAACTTGTCAACTCCATGAACGGATTTCCACACAGTCGAGCGCATGTCATACCAGCAGAACAGCGTTTCCATTGACAGGCAAAGGCCGCCGACGGTCCCGTGGTGGCAGTCTTGGAACATCCAAAGGGACTTCATCGCGCCTCAGGCTGGCCTGATCTAAGCCCCTTTGGATTATCCAGCGTGGGCAACGTTTTTATCCACGAGGCTTTTGTTGCGCTGCATTGTGTCTTCTCGTAGATAACAATTCCCCCCATGCCCCCCATTCTTCCCCCCGTCGATCCCCTGCAAGTGTTTTCTTCGCACCTGGGAATACAACAATGGCAGACAGATTGACTGACATAATTACATGTACACATAGCCATAACAGTAGACAGACGGATTGGAGATTGAGGCCGCGGTCATATTGTTTGTAGTGAAGCGGCACCCTGCAGCTGCTCTACAGGTTCGGGTCGCACCGTTGGGTCAGGCGCCCGCCTGCCGCCCGCTCCGTTGTTCCGTGAAGCGATAGAATGAGCTCCGCCAATTGTCCGTATCACACGAGGCTAAGGCCAGGCGACGGCACAGACCCGACCACAGAGCAGTAGCGGTAGCATTATTGGATTCACTAGGCAAAACGAGGGCAGTAGCAAGAAGACAGATTATTAGGAGGAGGAGGAGGAGGGTCAGGAGGAGGAGCAGGGGAGGACGGAGAAGAACAAGGAGAAGAACAAGATACCTCGAAAAAAAAAAGGAGCGGAGGAGTGGGAGGAGGAGGGAACAAACAGGACGCCCCGGAGCCCGCCGACGCGGACAAGATCCCAGACCCGATGTTCGAGCTCACCCCGGTGCCCTCCAACGAGTGGTCGTACCGTCAGATCGCCCCCCCGGGCACGAAGATGATCACGCTGGAGCGGAGCTCAGAATTGCAGCGTCGCTGGGAAATCGCAGCAGGTGCTCGCTCACAATACCAAGCGTATCCCAACGTTGTTGAAGCTCCCTGGAAGACCGCCATCGTCACGGCCGGAGTCGCGTTAGAAATCTGGTAAGGGTGTTCCATGAGCGGTCCGTGAAACGATTTTGAGCAAAAGTGGATTGGAGGACGCAGACCTCTGCGAGGGCAATACTTACATCCATATCCGGTGCGTCTTGGAAGGGGCACAATAAGGCCGAGTCGCACTGGATATGGATAGAACTCGAGCCTCCAGGGGCCAGGTTTTTGTTACCCATACCCAGTGCGCCCCGGGTTCCTGGGGAGGGATGTCCGAAACTCCCAGCTGCAGTGGATGTGGACGCAAGTCTTGCCCGACCTCTGGCATCGCGAGAAAGTTCCAGGGTCGGGGGAACCTCGAGAATCCATGCGGCAGAGCCTGGGCCATGGCGAAGAGCAGCGCACCGGCCTGGGCAGCGCTGCCTGGGAGCCGACCACACGAGCTGCGCACGAGCCTCGGAGATGTTGCCTAAGTCAAAGAACAAAAAACAGCATACAAAACTTAGTTAAGAGAGCAAAAGAAGCGCTAAAACGGCATGGAACGGGATGTTGCGTAATTCAAAGTCAAATCAAAGACAAAAAAACGACATACACATAGTTTGTTGGCGCTCCGCGCGGATTTCTTGGATCCGCGTTGCCCCCCCCCCCCCTGGCGGCGCCTCTGGCGCCGCCCCTGGCGCGATCCGCGCGCCAGGGGCGTGGAGTCCAGCCCAGATCCAAGAAACCCGCGCGGAGCGCCACAAGTTTATGTGTATGCCGTCTTGCCTTCTTCTAGTATGAGCTGCGCCATCGCTGGCGGCCCACGCTTTGGGAACGAGTATTAAGTCGAGTATTAAGTCGTGCATGTCCCTCTACAGGAGGAAGATTCAAGAGTAGTAAACAACAGTCCAGGGACGCCACATTTTGGCGTGCATGTTGGACTATGTTCGAATATTTCTCACTATCTTTGCCTCTTCCTTCAAGACCCGCCTGTGAGGGGGGCGTGCCCGACCTGAAACGAGTAGAAGAGCGCCTGCGGGACACGCTGCAAACGCTCGCAGCGCGCTGCGACGATGCCTGACGGGCAGCCGCACCCAGGACTGCGCAGGCCCCCGACAAGAGGCTGCCGGAGGCCCCGACGTCGTCGTGATTTTCTCATCGCGTCGACCCCCAGACCCAGAGATCCAACGCATGGACAAAAATCAAGACGGAGGTTTTTCGCAAAGTTCGGCCCCCAGGGGCCCTCGCCGGGCCTCGGGACGATCAAGAAACGACTCAGGATGAAAAGCCCGTCCTGGGGAATGGGTCGAGACTTCCGGGGACCCCGCATTGAAAAAATCACGACGTCAGATCTCAGGGCCCTTCCCGGGACCAGTTCCGGGTCCTTTTTGAACGGCCCCGAGACCCGGGAAGGGCCCCCCCGGAGGCCGAAAGCAGCGACAAGCTTCCAGTCGCGATTCTGTTCGCAGCGCGAGGGGGTCCGTTAGGCTTGCAGGAAGGAGGAGGAGGAGGAGGAGGAGGAGGAGGAGGAGGAGGAGGCGAAGGAGGAGGAAGAGGATGCGGCACTTCGCCCCGCGTCGGCGCCACGGTTGTCCGCATGCAGCCCCCGAGCTGGCTGGCGCCCCCGCAGCACCAACCGACGGGGGCCCGGCAGCCCGAGGCCACCTTGGGACTCGAGGGACAGGAGCCCCAAGCCCCAAGCACCCGTGTCCCCCTACAGGGGGATTTTCGACGAAACATTGAAGAATACCCCAAAAATACTCCAAAAGGTCAACAATTATCCCAGTGCGACCCTACCTAGGAGTTGGAGCCCCTAGGAAAGCAGCATGAGTAGTAACAGTAAAGCTACGCTAAAGCTAAGCTAAAGCCAAGCTAAAGCTAAGACACAGCTAAGATAAAGCTAAGCTAAAGCTAAGTTCAAGCTAAGCTAAAGCTAAGCTATAGCTAAGCTAAAGCTAAGCTAACGATAAGCTAAAGCTAAGCTAAAGCTAAGCTAAAGCTGAGCCAAAGCTAAGCGATAAGCTTAAGCTAAGCTAGAGCCAAGCTAAAGCCAAGCTAAAGCCAAGCTAAAGCTAAGCTAAAGCTAAGCTAAAGCCAAGCTGAAGCTAAGCTAGAGCTAAGCTAAAGCTAAGCTAGAGCTAAAGCTAAAGCTAAGCTAAAGCTAAGCTCAAGCTAAGCTAAAGCCAAGCTGAAGCTAAGCTAGAGCTAAGCTAAAGCTAAGCTAGAGCTAAAGCTAAAGCTAAGCTAAAGCTAAGCTAAAGCTAAGCTAAAGCTAAGCTAAAGCTAAGCTAAAGCTAAAGAAAGGTAAGCCTGAGCTAAGATGAAGCTAAGCTAAGCTAAGATACAACCAGCTAAGCTAAGATGAGGTAAGCAACGCTAAGCTAAGGGGGCGCGACTGGGGGAACTGCGGGGCGGGGACTGGGGGAACCGCCCGGGGCGCTTTCCACTGCCCGGCCCCTTTGAGCTAGAGAGTAAGAACCCTTCTAGGCAGAGCCTATGTAGGGAAATACTCAAAAAAAACCCAGACTATTTTTGTATTATGTTTTGATTATCTTTGGGGTATTTTTAAAAAAATTGTCGTCGAAAATCTGCCTGTAGGGGGACAGGCCCGACTTAACAGGAGCCCCAGGCACGCGAGCAATGGCGAAGCGTCCTGGCTCATCCTATAGGGACAGCAACAAATAGTATAAGAGCCTTTTTTGTGGTCTGCGCGAAGTGTTCTTTGAACATTTCGGGCCGAGACCGCCTTGTTTTGACACATCCGGTTTACGTTCTAAGAACATTGTGTTTGTTGTTAGAACATGTTTAATATTGGAAAATTGTGTGGCAGGGCTATAGGAAAGCCAGGACGGTCGGTCCCTGCTCAAGACATGCGACGTCCTGATTTTTTCAGGACGTCGTCCGTGGAAGCCCCGACACCTTCCTCCCCCGGAGCCGGTTCTGCGTCCCGAGTCGCTTTGCGACGGCCCGGAGGCCCAGCGAGGGCCCCCCAGGGCCGAAAACGGCGAAGAACCTCCCGCCCTGTTTCTGTGGACGCCGCGAGCGTGCCCGGGGCCGAAGAGCTCCGCCGCCGGCCTCCGAAGTGGGGCGCCGCGGGGCGTCCGCGGGCCCGCCCCCCGAGCCGAGCAGGGGCGCGGCGGCGGGCGGCCGCGCGGGGTGCCCCTCGCGCCCGCGGAGGCGGCGCTCGGGCCGGCCGGAGCACGGTCCGGGCCCGCTCTGGGTCGAGGGGGCTCCCCAGCCCCTGGCATCGGTCGGACGTGTGCATGTTTCTCTCGGCGAGGACCATCGAGGAGCATCCTTGATCACTTGGCGAAAGAACCCCGCACGAAACCGACAAAAAAAAAACAGGGAATGGACGTCCGAGCCATGGCGAGAGCCCCAGACACGCTCGCGTCGCAACAGGAATCAGGGCGTGGAGTGCTTGGCCGATTCTGGCCTTGGGGGGGCGCCCTCCTCGCTAGGCCTCGGGGCCGTCAAGCAGCGACTCGGGCTGAAAAGCTGGCCTCGGGGAAAGGGTCTGGACTTCCATCAGGGGGGGGAAAACACACAGACACAATTAATCGTCGATTCCCAGGAAAATATTGGAAATATAGGAAGTGGGGGGACAAAATACCCGAAAATATATGATAATATTGGGATTCCTGTTATTTGTGTGTATTTATTTGTGTGTCCCAGGGCCCCTTCATTCCAGGGCGACCCCGCATTGAAAAAATATCAGGACGTCGCATGTCTGCGGAGGGGGCGCA